TCCAAAACAAAACTAAATATGCTTGACCCTCCCACTTCGATGATTCATCGTTGCTGGTTTCTGATGCCTCATTGCTAACTGTCATGGTTATCCTCAGCTTCTGAAGGAACGGTTGATGAGCGCCAAGCACCCGTACCTGCTCCCCGTGTTGGACGCCGACCTGATCGAGCTACCCCAGGGTTACCCGGTGGTTATCATCATCACCCCCCGTGGCCCCTCGGGCAGTCTGCGAGACATCATGCACAAGGTGAGCTGCGGACACCGCTGAGTCCCCGGATCATCATGCACAAGATGAGCCAGCCGCGCTCGTCTTCTGAAGAAGTAGATCGAGGCCATGCGTCATCATACAGGCTCACAGCGAACAGGCAGCAGCCGGGAATCGAACTCAAGCTCCCAACTGAAGCCCGACGTCCTACCGAGAACGTTACATCACCGCCAGTCACGTGCAATGTCAAGCGCATCATGACCGTCTACCTGCGTTGAGAAAATCGCTTCAGCCGTATTTGTAGGTCCCGGTCATCAGGGGGGGGGGGGGGGGGGGGGAGGGCAAGCTATTCGACCATCAGTCATTTGCAGCCATTCAAGCGCAGCACGCGTATTAGACGGTAATGTCAGTATGCAGCTTAAACTGCTCACTACTTACATTGATATATCGCTGAAATGAACAGTTGTTCGTCACTTTTAACTTCGGTTAGAATCAGCTGTGGCCGTATCATAAGCCGCAGCGGAAGTGCAATTTTTTGTCACGTTGGGCCAAGATGGTCAAGCAACCATATGCCTGGGGACCAAGGACATATGGTTATCGAAGGCTGATGATAATTGACACGCGTCCGGGTGGCGTGTCAATTATCCCCATAGGTTTTTACAGAAAAGTTTCCGGACGGCGCAACGTGGTCGCGCCAAACTTTGCATGGTTGTAGGCAATTAAATAGCACATATTTTTGTATAAAAATTGCATGAACCCTGTAAGACCGCTGACCTACGGCAAGGCAAAGTTAGGGCACAACTGTTAGCGGAAACAGTTTCTAGGGAAAAGTTCAGTCTGTTGCGGCAACGGAGTGTTAGACGAGGCCACGCATTTTCCGAGATAGTTTCTTAAGCAATTAAGCAATTCAATTTAGGACTACAGCATAGCATAGGACTACAGCATAGCTGACTGACCTCGGGTCAGATAGTAAGGTCAGATCTAGGCTTAAACCAACCGACTTTCTTGCTCGGGAGCTTGCTGTATGAAGCAGATTCAGTTGCTAAGTTGGAATTTTTGATAACGGGGACCGCATCAGGTATCTTCGATGAGCTTCTTAAAGATAAAAGTTGGTCACTGACCTAAAATGAACCAGGTAAACATTTTACGTTTAGAATCATACCGCCTAGTGTGACCCATGACACCCAGCCAAATGCAGAAAATAAAAAAATGTCCTAGGATTTTAGTAGCCAAGACCTTCTCAATCTCAAACGAGGTCGCTAACCTTGATTGAACACCAGTGACCTTTTGCGTGGAACAGGTATTTGGGTTCAAAGAAGTTGTATGGGGAGGTTCGGGGGCGCTTTGCGAGTAACAATCTGGAGGTTCACATTGTTTGAACTTATCCGATGCGGTGTTTATGATTTAGGAACCTAAATGTTTGACACAGGTGAATTAGCATACAGGCCATCCCGCCCTGCCAATATCTTGTCTCTAGCTGTCCTGTTTTTGAGATCTCAGCGGGTCAAATTAAGCCTCACCAAAGCGAAAGGTTTGAACCAGCGACCGGGCGCGTGATAATATCCCTTCGATTTGAGTAAGAATATGTCAGGAAATCAAGTTACTCTGCTACCGGTGGCTGGAAACTTTCCTTGCACGTGGGCCGCCTGCTCTGTCCATCTCGCCGGCCGTTTTGCTAACAAAACACGTTAAGCATTTCAGAGATCAGGCGTTGATATCCAGCTGTAAATGCTTTGCCGATTAAGCGTTCAAGCCATAATCATGTAAATGAGCTGATCTTAATTGCTCTTTTATGTAGGTTAAAAATATTTCCACAGCCTGCATAATCCAGCTCTCAAATGCTCATGAACGCGGGGATAGCTGACCAGTGACAATATCAACCCTTAGATTGCTTCTCGACACTTAAAGCTTATTCTTGACCCAGGCACGCACCACCCCTACCAAGTATTGAACGAAGTCTGTAGAAGGTCTTCTGTGTGCGGACGTAAACACTGGTTCATAATCAACGCAGATGAAGATAACCGCAAGGCTGACGACATTATGACTGACGAGTGTTATCACAAAGTGTTGATTTGTCTTGGGCTTTGCGACGGTGTCCCACATGTAGCACGTGGACGGAAATTGCGCCGATATAAAAGCGATGTAGCGGGCTATATGTTCCCACGTTCCGTCACTTTTTGGCTGGCTTCCGAGCTTCATTTCCCCTGGGAGCTCAGCCTCCCTTCTCTTGGCAGCCATTTGGAAGGCATGGGTATGGGGAGGCTCCCCTGTCGAAAGGTGGCAGAATTGCTGGTACTCAAATCCACTGTCGTAACGCATGTCTTGTCCCTCCCCGCCACGCTGACTGCAAATTGTGCCCGCATGTCGCCCAGTATGATTCCCCTAAGGCCGGCCCCAAACGTAAACATGGGAAAGGGGCGTGGTTGTAGACAACGTTACCAGGAACGAAGCATAAGTGCACCGTAAAGACACAATACAGTCCTGTCGCCAGATGTATTCAACTGTCCAAGTGCCACGTAAGCTTGCGTAGATGTCACGTGCATACGCCTAACTTGCATGTCAAAAATAACTACTGCCAAGACTGAAGATAAGCGCACAAGCAAATCTGGTGCACAGCCGTTCAAGTGTGCCAAACATGGCATCTATGTTTCTAAAGTGAGTGTATGCGCACTAACGTGCATGGCAGTTCATCTGTTTGATAATATGTAATCATTTCCTGAAGGATCTCATCCGAACCTAAACATGCTACAGCTGATAAAAGCAGCTTTCTAGAGTATTTCATTTTTCAGTGTCAATTCTACTTCCTGAATATTCTGTACGGAGAGTATTGAAGCACTAATTTAGAACCAAACTTAATGCCCTTGCATGATCTCCAGCCTGCACTGCGTCGAGCTCGGCAGACGAACCACAGTCTGACGTCTGGATATGGCGCACGCCCGGTAGCCCGACGCCTGCGGCACATCAGAGCGCCAGCCACAGTCTGTCGTCTGGATGTGGCGCACACCCGGTAGCCCGACGCCTGCGGCACATCAGAGCGCCAGCCACAGACTGACGTCTGGATGTAGCGCACGCCCGGTAGCCCGACGCCTGCGGCACATCAGAGCGCCAGCCACAGACTGACGTCTGGATGTAGCGCACGCCCGGTAGCCCGACGCCTGCGGCACATCAGAGCGCCAGCCACAGACTGACGTCTGGATGTGGCGCACGCCCGGTAGCCCGACGCCTGCGGCACATCAGAGCGCCAGCCACAGACTGACGTCTGGATGTAGCGCACGCCCGGTAGCCCGACGCCTGCGGCACATCAGAGCGCCAGCCACAGACTGACGTCTGGATGTGGCGCACGCCCGGTAGCCCGACGCCTGCGGCACATCAGAGCGCCAGCCACAGACTGACGTCTGGACGTGGCGCACGCCCGGTAGCCCGACGCCTGCAGCACATCAGAGCGCCAGCCGCCGTCTGACATCCGGATGCTGCGCACGTCCGGTAGCCCGACGCCTGTAGCACATCAGAGCGCCAGCCGCCGTCTGACATCCGAGCACGCTTTCGCAGAGAGTGTTGGGTGTGTGTTACAAGAGCATGGAGCATGGGAAAATAGCTTACCGAAGAAAGCCTAGCACGAAATGGATGCCAAAATTACACGCCGGTCTAGTTTACGGCTGTATGAGACACCAAAATCTGACCCTAATTGCGTGACTGTGAGAAACGTGAAATAGAAGTGCATAAACTGCAAACGAGATTGCTATTTAGAAACGCCTCTGACAACACCAGAAATGTCGGAGTTGATCGTTTTTGATGTGACAGAAAGTACCTTCGTAAAGGCAACGCGTAAGTAGAAACTGTTTGAAAATGGAGCCGTCCAGCTCATAATGAGCTCAAAGCTCTTGTGTTGAATTGGCTACTTGCAATATACCATAGGTGCTGATTAAACAACGTTGCGGTGGTAAATATTAATTTTATTGGTGGTACTCAACTTTTTGCTCTGTGCTCATCTGTGCTCTGTGTTCAGAAAAATTCAGCAAAATATTACACTTGCAAAATAGGACAGGTAACTGCAGAAAATGCTCCCAGTCTGTGCAGACATTGTCACGAAAAGATTTTTAAAAATGTATCATCCAAGCTCCCAAGACTCCGTATACAGCTCAACGTAAAATGTGTAACAACAGGCGGCCAAGCAGGAATTTAAAAAGTATCACGCAGTATTAAATAAGGCATTCCTGCCGCGATAATCAGCCCCAGCGAACACCGTCTGAACCTCGGGAACATGTATAACACAAATTGTGGCTAAAACCAGGTCTCATGATGAAGTTGCACGTTCAGTCTAGCGCAAATTTTACGAATTTGCAGCAATTCTAGGATCTCTGGGCACAGGATACAGGACGCCCTGCATACTTGGTTCTTCCGTGTGCTTTTCCCATTCGGCCATTCATACATTAATGACAAATCCTACCCCAGCAACGCATATGGGGTCTTAAGCGCTGGTCGTACTAGCATGGACTTCCAACCAGGACCACAAGTCCATTACACGCGCCCAGGTGGCCGGCTGAATACCCTTTGCTAGGGTGGGGGTCAATTTTACACCCCAAAGATCTCAGAAACTGAGAGGCCTAGAGACACCAAATTCACAGGGGTATTGGCCTGAACGTGAATTCACTTGGGCCAATGTTTGGGGTTCCTAGGTCATGACCTTTGGGCCAAACTAGGTCAAACTATGGATTCGTCTTCAAAGTGCCCCAGGATTTAGATACGCGTTCTAAGCAAAAGGTAACTGGTGTTCATTTAGTTCACTGACTTGGTTTAATATGCGCCCGGGTGGCCGGCTAGACACCCTTCGCTCGGGTGTGGGGGGTTCAATTTGACCCCCTGAGATCTCAGTTACTAAGAGAGCTAGAGACACCGTATTTACAGAATGTCTTGACCTGTACGTGAACTTGCTTAGGTCAAAATTTGAGTTTCCTACGTCGTGACCTTAAGGTCAAATAAGGTCAAACAATGTCAAATTCCAGGTTGGTCTCTAAATTGCCCCCAAAACCCAGGCAACTGTT